GGATATTGTAAATAGTGCTGCTATGAACATTGGGGTGCATGTATCTTTTTGAATTAGCTTCCTCCAGATAATACCCAGGAGTGGGATTGTTGGATCATATGGTAAGTATATTTTTAGTTTTTTAAGGAATCGCCACACTGTTTTCCATAATGGCTGCACCAAACTACATTCCCACCAACAGCATAGGAGGGTCCCCTTTACTCCACAGCCTCTCCAGTCTTTATTGTTTGTGGACTTTTGAATGATGGCCATTCTGACTGGTGTGAGGTGATACCTCCTTGTAGTTTTGATTTGCATTTCTCTGATAATTAGCACTTGAACATTTTTTCATGTGCCTATATTGGCCATTTGTATGTCTTCATTGGAGAATTGTTTCTTTAGGTCTTCTGCCCATTTTTGGATTGGGTTGTTTGTTTTTTGTTATTGAGTTGTATCAGTTGTTTGTGTATTCTGGAAATTAAGCCCTTGTCAGTTGTATCATTTGCCAAATATTTTCTCCCATTCTGTAGGTTGTCTTTTTGTTTTGTTTATAGTTTGAGCTGAAGACTTGAGAATCAACAATTGCAGGAAGACACTTTTTCTGAACTCCTCTTATCTGCACAAAAACAGAACCTCCCAAAATAACTTAATTGTCATAAATCTCCTTTCCAGGAGTTCCAGAATCAGAGAAAACTGACTCCTATCACCAGAAATAAGAAGTAAGCACCAGGATAAGAAATCACCTAAACAGACATTGTCATAAAATTATCTTATCTCCCATCCATTCTCCTAAGGCCTCACTTATTTTTCATAAAAGACATTTGTTTTCCCATAAGTGCCTTTTCTCTCCCTCCCCTATTAAAATGGTATATAAGCCCCAAATAGCAACCATCCATTTGAGTCACAATTTTCTGGATGCTCTCGCCTATATACATGAATAAAAACTTGTCTTTTCTCCTGTTAATCTGTCAGTTTCAGTTTAATGCACAAGCCCCCAATTACCAATACTACATGGGGTTGAGGAAAAGCTCTTCCTCCCTGACACCACTCATCAGATGGACAGATGGACTTACAAATGCTGCAATCAGTTGGCCTAGACCCCTACTTTGATCAGAATACAAGAAACATTAAGAGGTTCCCTCCAATACCAGGACAATTTGAACACTCATGTAACAAATTACAAAGCAGCCTCACCAACGTGGTAGTTCCATGCCCTGCACATGCAGGACATGGGTTTACCTGAGGTGGGTCAACTCTAGTTTGTGACTACCAAGTAGTTTACTTTTATGTAAAAATTCCCCATCCATGAATATTCCCATTTGTCTAGGATTTTTAAAACATCCTCCAATGAAATATATTTCTCTCCAAAAAGACTTTGTGTATCTTGTATATTTTTTACTGGGCAGCTTTAAGTTTCTTTTTCTCTTATAAAAGTGATTTTTCCACTTGCTGTTCCTGCTGTGTAATAGTGCTACTGATTTTTGTGTTATGAATTTTATACCCAGCAATCTTGTCAAACTCTCCTATTGATGTTAACAGTCAGGGTAAATCTGATCAGTCATGAATTATTATTGCTTTTGTTGTTGTTGTTGTTGGTCATTATACTCAGGTATTTGATTTGCTAAAGTTTCATATATGATTTTCATCCCGAAGGTCTTAACTGAGATTGGTCTGTAAGTTCCCTTTTTGCGCAGTTATTGTTCAGTTTGGTTGTCAAGATTCATGTGGTAGGCACTATTAGTTGCTTTCCCAGCAGTTGTCATGCATTTCCTCCCCCTTCTTAGAAGCAGATCATGCCTCTCTTGAACATCTTTCCATTTTCTCAGAGAGGAAAATCTCATGTCTCATTGGCTGGAACTGGGTCACATGCCATCCCTAGCTACAAAGGTGGCTGGGAACGTATCTGACACTTTCAACCCATGAACACTTAGACGTATTTAGAAATTTTTACATTTTTAAATGATGAGGGAGTTTGTTGTTCTTATCAATTTCTTATTGTCATGCTTTGTAATCAGCCAACAGGATCCATATGCTATTAGTATTTGTTGAGATTGATTTCTGGCCTCCTTTGTAGTCAGCTTTTATATACTTTCATGTATGTTTGAAAGGCATGTTGGTTCCCAGGTCTATTGACGCCCACTGATCAAGCTTGGTATTCTGTCATTTTACATTTTCCCTATGTTTGCTAAATTATTTGTCTACTTTGACCTGCTAGTTTAGTAAATGGGTTAAAATCTCCCATTATAACTTCAGGTCACTTGTGATTTTGTCAGTGTTCTGATATATTTGTTGAGCGAGGTTCAGGTTTAGGATTTAATACACATACCTTTATTGTGACCACTGATACGTTTTGATTTATCTGACAAACAAATGAATGCTTTCTATTTACCATGCTTTTTGGAGACTTCCCTTTGTTCTTCCTCTGCCTTCTATTGGATTGGTCAAGTTTTCTCTTGGAAGTTACATATTGTTTTCCTCTTCCTTTAGAGGTTATCTTTACATTTTGAATATGCACATTTTCCTTAAAATTTTTTAAAATGAGGGGGCAGGGTATAGCTTAGTGATAGAGTGCATGCCTAGCATGCATGAGGTCCTGGGCTCAATCCCTAGTACCTCCACTAAAAAAAAAAGAATAAATAAACCTAATTACCTCCCCACCAAAACAAATTTCTTTTAAATGAATAAACATCTCTTTCCTTTTTCCAAATAATATGAGTAACTTAGAGCACTTCTTTTTTCTTTTCTATACTTACTATCCTCTCATCTTCTGTTATTGTCATCTGTTATTTAAATTCCATGAATATACCTCTGAATACTCATTATTCATATTTTGGAAACATTCTATGCTCATTCGAATTTGCCCAGATGTTTACCAACTTCTTTGTTTATTATTTCTTCTAGATGGGACCCCTCTTTCTCCTTGGCTTCAGTTTCCTTCTACGTTAAGTACACTCTTCAGTAGTTCTTCCAATGTGCGTCTCTGAGTAGTAACTTACTCCTTGACTGTCAAAAATGACTTTTTTTTTGCTCGATTCTCAGTCCCAACTCCTCATTTACATGTGCCGATGCCACATTTCCTGTCCCCTTATGGGCATGACACCCCCCACCCCTAGATGTCAGGGCTCACACCCAGTTCTGACACCTCCCAGCTTCCTCAGTGTTGTTAGCTCATCTGCTTCCTACTCCGGTTAGAGCCTCCTCTTTATCTCTAGTACCTGAGGATTCCCCTTTCTTTGTTTTGAACTCAGCTTTATATTGTTATATTTCATCTTGTGTTTGTCATGCCAGGTTGGGGGAGGGTCTATATTAATCATTTTAGTTATTATTCCTGGAGGTCCAGATATTCTGTTTATAACAAATTTCCCTCTTACTAATGTTTATTGTTCTCCTTTAAGATAAATATCATATATTTTGCTGGAGAAAAAAGACATGACAGAGACAGCCGGACACTTCTTGTTCTGTTTCAGGAAAAGTTTTAAAGTTTTCTAATTTCTTCAATTTGGTACATAGGGAACATTCCCCAGACAGTCACTTGGGAAAACGCAATCATCTGCCGAGAAATGAAATTTTCTGGAGGTTTGAATCTATTTTCTTGCATCTCCCTCAATTCTCTTTGCTCAACAGAGGTGATCGTTACTCAATATTTGATTTACACCCTTCGCACTACAAATGCCAAAGCAGCATGTTGAGAAAACTCTCTGTAAGGAAACCATCCTCAGGCTAGATCCAGAGCTCAGTTACTCCTGCAGATCAACAGCTGGCTGCAGGCTGAACTGGTTCCAAATCCTGGGAATTCACAGCTACTAATAGATGAACAGGATCAATCTCATTTGCATTCATCGTGACTCAGGAATTTCCTGGGACTGCATTCCTGGGCAGATTAAAACGTGTTGGTTTAATCAGCCCAAGGCATTTAGTGTCAGGATATTGGCCTGAAAGACTTCCACACACTCTAGTGTATGGACAGAACACAAACCCTCCCTTCAGCCTGTCGGAGGGTGGAGGTCATGCAAGAACGGAGGAATCCAAATATGGCTCCTTTCAGATACATCTCGCCGTGTTCAAGGCACTGAGAATGGAGCAATATTCACAAGTGTCAATGCATACACTGGGGGCACGGTCCAGCTATTATGTTGGAAGCGCTTCCCGGATAACCACAAATGGGCCAAGAGGAGAGGCCAGAGATGGTGGTAAAGAGTATTCATGGAGACAATAGCAAAGACCAGAGTGGTCATACTCGGGTTCACAGACGCAGACAGCTACTTTCAAGTAATATTCTGACCCAGAAAAGAAGCAAAAGGAAGGAGGTGGCCTGGAGGGGGCTGTACGATGGGGAGAAGATCAGAGAGGCCCCTACAGTCAGTTATACCATCAGCGATAGGAAAATAGCAAGAGATTACAGAATGTATTCAAAGCAGAAGTGGCATTAGTGCCGATTAGTGCTGGTTTGTTATCCTCGAATCCTCACCCTTCCAAAGGAGAGATGACAACCTCGACCTGGGGAAGGATGGGTCCTCTTGAGAAACAGAAACCACCTGCGTACTGCATACCACTTTGGTCACAGGTGACTGCTGTTTTGTCAATTCCCTTTGCGGACACCTGAGTGGTCACTTGGCAGGAAGTGGAAGTCTTACTGGGTTAAGACCCCAATGGCATGCGGCCATTTTCAGCACTTGCTTCTCTACAATTTACAGGCAAAGCCACCTCTTTCCTACTGCCAACACGGAACCAAGGGAAACAACAAAGTCCTTTACTCAACTTAAGATCAGATTTCATCTTAACATGTCATGGAAGGGTTGGGAGAAGTAAGACGAAAGCTCCGCCTGACGAAAATGCAGTTGAGGACCATTTTGCAGAATGCAGGGGATTCTGCTTTTGGAAGCAACCAGACTGGCAGTTTTGGAGGGTGGATGTAAAGACTTTCCAAGTCACCTTTTCATCCCTGACAATCACGGACTCTCTCACTAGTGGTCTTACGTGGGGAGGGTGCCCGGAGGTGGCGGCCAGCTGCTAGGACTTACCTGTTGAGATACACGCGCTTCTCCGTGAACTGCCCGTTGCCATGGTGAGGGTCCTCGAAGGGCTCGTTCTGGACAACCTCCACCCCTTCTCCTCGGTCGCTCTGTTCATGGCTGTGCTTGCTGATCATGTACAGCTGTCCGATTTTGTACTGCAAGACACACAGAGATAGAAGGGTCAGCCCCACCGCCCACTTTGAAAACAGCCCCCTTCCACCATGGCGCTGCGTGCAACTCATATCATCAGCACTTTCTGCTGAGAAAAGAAAGCAGACACATGGGCCGATGTTTTACTTTTCCCCCAGAAGGAGGAAGAGAACTAGTTGTGAGTAGAATGCAGAAACAGCCTGTTCCTGTGAACATTTTGCATCACCTTGGCGAATGCTGACTGGGGTGGCTGGCGGTCTTTGAGGTTTGGCAGCCAATCAACCCATGGGTAGCAGCAGGGAGGTGGGAACGCTGGAGTCTCTCTTTCCACTCTGGCTCTGCAGGGTTAAACGGAGCTAAAGTCCTATTTTGCTTGGCAAAAAGGCTAAGGTGTGTTATTTCTGTCCCTTCTTTCTGCCTAATTAACTGCATTGCTGGGCACAAGAGGATTAGATGTCACCTGTCTCTCCCATCACCTCTCTCAAAGTGTTCAACTCTCCTGGAGGCCTCTGTCCCTAGAACGATGGTTCTCAAAGGTGGCTGGACATTAGAATCACCTGGAGGCTTTTAAAAACTCCAGATTCCCCAGCTCCACCATGAGTGGAAACTGTGTTCTAAAGTATGGCCCACAAGGAGGAAAATCAACAGTATCTGTAAGTCTTTTTTGTCCAATTCCAGTAAATGTGGGACAATCCAGCCTGAGGTCTCAGAAGCCACATGTGCTTACGTGAAAATGATGATATGCAATAATATGTAATATGAACACTGTCTGTCCTGTCTTCATTTTTGAGCTGTTCCTCTCTCCCTCCTGCCTCTCTGAAAACCATGGGGCCAGCAGGCATCTCTTTACCCAGTGAACTTCCAAAGTGACAAAACTAATTTGATGGAGGGAAAAAAAACATAGAGAGAGGAGGGTGGGAGGAGTAAAATGACTTTTGCACCAAGGAAGTCTGCTCAGAGTCAGGAGGCAGGGCTGAAGCCCTGCGCTGGTCCTCCCCACAGAACTGGCGTGGAACAACACACAGTGTCATCATCATCAAGGCCCGTGGGATGGAGGGAAGGGGCCTGCGTTCACAGTAAGACAATGATGGCTCTGGGCTACTCCCAAAGGCCCAGGCCAGCAGGGATGTAGGGCTCTCATCTATTTTAAATTAAGGGGCAGGTGAAATGTACAAATCAACAGTGCAGTCAGTTCTGAAGCTGAGAGGACACACACGTCCAAAGGTCCCTCTTTCACTCTGAAGCAGGTGCAGGGACGGGAGTGTGAAGAGAATGGCAAAGGCTCTGGTGTGAGGCCAGCCAGAGGGACCAAGCCCAGTAACCATGACAATGGGAACAGTCGCTGGCTGGCTCTTCTCGAAGAGCAGTGCTTCCCTGTCTGTGCCATGCCCCCTCCCCAGAACGGTCTTCATTCAAAATGTTTTTAACGTGAATGTGTGTGTGTGTGTGCTTGGAGGGAGTGCCAGTGCTGAGGGTTAGGGCAGAAAGAGGAGAGAGGAAAATCAAATGTACAATTTATTTTTAAACAAATTTTGGGCTCAGAAGCGTGCCTTGGCTTCCCGTTAGTAGGTCCTTCCCTTCCTAGCTCATCAAGACTGACTTAACACTCTTTCAGGAAGATAGTGAGAAAAAGTTCACAAATTGGAGATCTGTGAGATATACCTGTAAGATCAATACTCCTCCTTATGCACACAAGCCTATAACAGGGTGCCCAGCTGCCCTGGGGGTAGACATTCCACTGGCAGTTTCTTTGTACTTGGTGTCCCAAAAAGTAAGTATTTACTTACAGTGGAATACTACTCTGCCACAAAAAGGAAGGAAGTACTGATAATGATCATGCTCAGTGGGTATTATGGGTTCAATTGTGTTTCCTAAAATTCACATGTTGAAGTCCCAGTACCTTAGTGGGTGACCTTATTTGGTGATAAGGTCCTTACCATGGTAATCAAATTAAGATGAGGTCATTAAGGTGGGCGCTAAGCTAGTAGGACTGTTTTCTCTATACAAAGGGGCAGGATGGACCTAGAGACAATCATAGGAAGATGAGGTCAAGCGATACAGGAAGATGGCTGTCTACAAGCCAAGGATTGATCTGGAACAGATCCTTTCCTCCCAGCCTTCAGATGGAACCAGCCCTGCTGACACTTATCTTTGACTTCCACCACCCACAACTGTGAGATCTTAAAATTCTGGTTGGTTAAGCCACCCATTCTGTGGTGCTTTGCTACGGCATCCCCAGCAAACTAATATAATGCACACGGAGCTTCCTTTTGGAGTGATGAAGGGTTCTGGGTCCGGATACAGGTGGTGGTCTCACAATACTATGAATGCACTAGCTGCCACTGAACTGACTTTTAAATGGTTAATTTTGTGTTCTGTGATTTCCACCTTGTGGAAAGGGAATGTGGCCTACCATTCCCGTAAACAACAAATGTTCTCTGCCATCAAGCCATCAGCCCCTGGAACCAAACCCCAGCCCCCAACTCAGAAGGCGCATCCTGAGGGGAATTCGCAATAGAGAAAAACAGGAAATATTCTGTGCTCTGGATACTGACCCTAGATAATTAAGATGCATATCTAAGGGATAATTTCACCAAGCTCAGACTCTTGAATCTTCCTATACATAAAAAAGCACTAAAATCATTAACTTGAGAAGTCTGTTTCTGTGATTAGCAGTAATCTTTTGATGTTCAGCTACATTCTTTTTTTTTTTTTTGTCCCCCAGCAAAAACTCCTGTATATCCTGGCTCCTCCTTTACCTTTTCTGAGCAGCTCCTTGCAGCTCTAGCCCTCAGTAAGCTCCCCAAATACAACTTAACTCGCAAGTTTTAAGTTGTGTGCTTTTCTTCAGTCAACAACCTCAATTTAAAAAAAAAAAATGTTGACCCCACTTCTGAAGCAGATACACCTAAAACAAAATCCCGCCAAGGGTTTTATTTGGGGTGGGGGTGGTTGGCAGAAGTCTATTTCTAGACGATCTTCAGTAGCTCTAACCCTCTCACGCAGGAAAATGTATGGGACCCAGGACGACGCATGACACAGAAAAGCCATTAGCCAGACGCGAGTCAGCCTGGCTGTACCCAGCTCAAGTGCTTCCTGTGGAGGAGAAAGGGCCGAGGAGGCCGGCGGCTGATTCACTGGCGGCCAGAGGAGGGCCTGGCTGCCCGGCCTCATTGATCATTCTAGCGGCTCCTGAATGAACCATCACAGGGCAGACACCAGCCTTAGCTCACTAAGATAGCGTCAGCCTGTGGGCGACCGACAGGCGCTGGATGCAGTAACGTGGGTGACATTGCTGGGGTGTTGCGACACTCAAGCTCCCAGACACTGCGATGGTCAAGGGCTGTGCAGCTGTCACTTTTGTCTCCCAAGCAGATCAGGCCTGCTCTGCTGGTTGTGGCCATCTGAACTGGGCCATCCAGAAGCAGAGGTCTCAAACCACAAACTGACTCAAACACAAGCATCCAGAACTTTCTCAGGGGGGACAGGGCAGGGCAGACTGTCCTTAAGTCCTGTCTCAAAGTCACTAGAGAGATACTCCTTAAAATGCTGACTCCTAGGCCACCCCAGCCCTTTGACATTCAGACTCTGGGGGAGAGGGAAGTTGGGGGTCTTACTTGAACACACAATAAAAGCTGAGAACCACTGGGGCAGAGTGCTGAAGGCATTCATTAGTACTTGCTCAGTTCCAAAGGTGCCCAGACCAAAATGTTCTATCTCTAGGAGGCTGTTTCTTCTTTCCTCTTTAATACTCATTTCTTGCAAAGCTCCATCCCTAATTTAGTGAAAATTCCACATCACAGATTCCCAACTCCCAACAAACTTGTATGTCAAATGAAAGCTGCAAAATCCACAGACTCCAAAGGATTCTGAAGACTTAAGCCAGAGAATTGATAACAGAATTCATGATGGTGGTGGTGGTGATTGATAGAGTACAGCTTCATTAATGAATTGTCTTTTCGTGTGAGGCACCAATTAGATGCTTGCTATTCATGTCTAATACTCACAATCATTCAGCCAGGCAGGCATTTACAGATCAGGAAGCTGAGTCTCAGAGAGGCTGGCGGCTTCTCCTGCCACGTGGCTTCGAGGTGGCAGAGCTGGGATTGGAACACCACAGGTCTGTGCTCTTTCTTCTCCACTCAACTTCAGCCCTCACTTCTCTAACAGGTGCATTGCTTTAACAGATCAAGATCTCACTATGATGGAAAAAGAGGGATGGCTCAGAGCCACTGCCTTTGAACTTGGCTATTTCGGAAGATGAATAACAGAAGTCTGATATCATTTGAGAGATCAAAGTTGTTGAAACTGTGCTCACATATGGAATGGTGGAGCAATTATGCTCTAACTTTGTAAAATCTATTGTTGTAATTCCAGAGTTTGGGTAATCATCATTACAGGCAATCACGATTAGAGACAGCTCTGCGCTGCAGGGCTGAGCCTCCGTGTGAGCCATCATTAGAACAGCTACCCCAAATAATTATCTCCATAGTCAAACATCATGGGGATTCAAATCTTCCCCACTTGCACGCAGCGCTGCATGTTTGACAGAGCTGCAAAGCTTGAGGGAGGGCAGAGTTGTGTAACGTGCCTGGAGAAGTCAAGCGGTTTCATCACTTTGTACTTTTGCAAACTCTGTGACCAGGCATGACCAAGGCACTTAACACGGTTCAACCTCAAACCAAGCCTTGATTTTAGAAAAGGTGACCCCAAGACAAAACTCCTGAGTATGGTAGGGATTAACTGACCACCAACAACACCTAAACATCATCCTTGCTGGGGAAGAAGTACTGGACCCAAGCTATCACTGATTTTCACTTGACTACCCCTCTCCCCAGCGGCTGAGCTTCAGAGATAGCTGCGAGGCCAGCTTCCCATACTCCCCCACCCTAAAGAACCAAGGAGGGGTCATCTTCCTTCCTATCAATCCCTGTGTCCTCCTTCCCTGTCCCCTTTCTTGTCCTCCAGTAGTTTCCAAACGTCATGGTGTGAAAGGTGGGAACCA